CACTGAGTTGATGCTGTTTGCAGTATTGGCATATAATAATTCAATACATTCCGCCACAGATAAAAAAACCTATAGAAATTATTAATGGCCATTTAGATAACCGCGATCCGTTTGACATTCTTTTGGAAAAACAATGTTTACAAAATTACATAAATAAACATAAAAAAATAACAACAACAATGTACGAAAAAATTAACGAACGTCTAAATTCTAAACAAATAAATACTATTAATAAACGTAATGAGACCTTAGAAGCTCCCCTCGAATATGAAGAGGATANATATCACTGTCTACGAAACATATTGCTTATCGTAACATACTATCGTCCTCAAATGTAGCATATTTTGTATCAGAACTTACTAAACATTACAAGCCTGATCAATTGGTAACGACCGATTTGAAAGAATCTCGTATTTTTTGTAGCTTTTTAGACATAGGCTCTTACTTTAGCGATAATAAGTTGATATTTGTTATAAAAGTACCGATATTCTATATGGATATATTTACATACTATCAATTGTTCCCAATCCCCACATCCAATAATACTATCCTTATTCCTAACAAATCCTACCTGGTTATGAACGAAAATGCGTACCAGTACTTGGAATCACCCTGCATAAGAACAGGAAAATTTCACTACTGCCAAGAAAACACTCTCCTGCAGAGCCCGGAACAAAATCGTAACTGTGTGTACGACCTGATTATATCTCAGAAACTATCGTCGCAATGTCAATATGAACAAGTCAAAATAGAGCAGGAAATATTTGAAAAGATAAATGAAGAATACTACATATTTGTCAGTCCAAACTCTACTAAGCTTCACATACAGTGTGTTCAGGATGAATACATGAAAATTAAAGGAGTATACTTACTACAACTTCCGGAAAACTGCAGTGCATCCAGTGAAAAGCTGAAATTCATAAATTCACATCACACCGTTTACGGAAAACCTATAAAGCTCTATGCGTTCAATTCAGAGGAAGTGAAAATCAGGAACCCCCTTGAGCGACTGAAAATTGAAAATGTGGATTTGAAACAACTTCATAATACTATTGGATTTTTGGAACGAGAGCAGCAAACTTTGAAATTAGAAGACGTAGATATTCAGCCGCATCTATACTGGACCACGCCGCTCTACATAATCTTCATTATAGCAGCTTCATATGTTCTCTACATCAAATGGAGGAAATACATACAGAACAGGGCAGCCGCTGTAACTACAGAAACGGAACGCCCTGTAATTCTACAAACTGAATCCGTTCCTCGGTCTATCTTCAGCAGATAAGCTAAAGAATGGACCTCTATCTCGGCGGGGAGGTGTTATGCGAGCTCTATGTACCTCGGTTCTACGAAATGATCGGACGATGTCGTCTAGACGCTGAGCTTGCGTTTGTTGGCGATAAGCAGCCCTGCGCCTGAGCATCGAGCCCGGTTTTACAGCAGTCGAAGACTTAGATTCAATAAGGTTAGTTAGTTAAGTAAAATTGTAATTAAAAATAAATATATTTTTTCGCGAAAGCTCTCGGCTAGAGCTTAACTCGCGTGGATCCCGTTTTACCCCCTTAGGGGTTAAATTTTATAAAATTCCGTCTTAGTGAGCACCTACGTCCTAAAAGGAACCCCCTAGCAAAATTTGAGACTCTAGACACTTGTAGTATCTGAGATTTCATGGTGAGTGAGTGATTCAGTCAGTCAGTCAATGACCTTTCGCTTTAAATTATATCATATTAAATATATTTGTGGAAATCCTTGGGGGAGGCCTTTGTCCAGCAGTGGACGTCTTTCGGCTAAAACAACAACAACAAATATATATTTTTCATTTTCATCGATAATCACAATTATTATTCACGTCACTACTTTATAATGTTACTTCATTATAAATAGTTTTGATCGAGCTACTGGTCAGTCAGCTCCCAACCATGGATACTTGTATATGTATACTTCGGGTTGTGTTCGTGTGCATTTTTTTGGCCTGGTGTGGAGGCTTGCTCTACTGGAAGAGTTTGACGAAGCCCGAGCCGCCTAAAAGTTTGGACGAGATAGTAGAATCAATGCTATTGAAGAACCCGATCCCAAATCTGAATGAATTTAAGTATCCTACTACTCCTCAACCTTTAAAATTTCACCGCTTCCCGAGTCTGGATTGGGTGGATGAAATGAATAACAAGTGTAAAAATAAACCAAACGAAGACTGGATCAAGTGTGTTCAACTAGAGGTGAAACGGATGATCGGTAACTAACCGGTAGGCCGGATATCCGGCCTAAATTTACTATCCGGCCGGATACCGGATAGTAACTCACTATCCGGCCGGATACCGGATATTAAAAAAACTACGACAATGAAGTGAAATGCATTAATCTTTGAGGTAAATATCAATAAAATGGCTTATAATAATGACGGCTTTTATTTAATAAAATAAAATCTAATAAAAGCATACTACTCGTCCATCTCATATAAGATTTTAAACTTTCGCGTTCCATTTCAACTAAAATAGAGAAACACGGGTCACAACGCGACATTTTTTAAATGAGTTACATACGAGTATGTACTCACGGATCGACGTTAAATTGTCACCAGTGGTGTGGAATCCGGTGATTAATAAATGTACCGCGGGTTTTGACGTCAAGTACGAATACGGATACTGTGATTGTTGTGTGTCGTGGTAACTAAAGTCCGGTCCGTGAGCACGTAGAATTTTGTCCAATGACCCCTAGCTACCCATCCTTATCGCTCGCGTGTAATTATGTTGCTGTCGCGCTCGCACACTCACTGCGGGGGCCCGTCGCACAGTCGCGTAACAAACAACAATAAAATATGAGGGTAGTTGAAAATTTTCAAGTCCACCCGAATGGACGATGCCGCGAGCTGCCAGTCTGCTTGTGACCACGGCTGCAGCATAGCAGCTGAAACGTCAAGCCCTGAGTACATAATTGTAACTCATATAAAAAAATATCGCGTTGAGACCCGTGTTAATTTTTACGATTTTAAGAAACCTTGCACATTCGTTGTTACTCGTATTCTTAGATATTATGCAAGGTTTCTTTATTTCTTCTTTATCAAATTATCCAGTGCTTTTCTATACCTACCTAAGGTATAGACATTTGAAATCTCGTGACGTCACTGTTAGATACGTTAGAACCACGCAGTCTCATATGAGTTACTATTTGCGCCGATACATATTCTCTATGGTTTTATTGTTTGAAATCAAGTGCGGGGGAGTGACAACAGGACACATTAAAGGTTCGGTCAAACCAACGCGATCACACGCGATCAGCCGGCGTGCAGCGATGGCGACCAGACCTTAATGCATTGATCGCCATCGCTGCACGCCGGCTGATCGCGTGTGATCGCGTTCGTTTGGCCGAACCTTAAGGCACTGTGCGAACGCTGGAATGCGACTCGCCCTCGTACTACCCGCGTTAGCCCCGTCCGTACCAGAGCCTCGATGTGACGTCACGGCTGCCAGGTGCTCAGTTAACTCCATCTATATCTGTGGTTAACTCGACTGGTTTGTAAGTACGTGACTCATTGAGACATTGAATACCTAAGTAACGTACTAACACTAGTGATAAGTCATACGTATTTCATTGGTACTGCTTCTAAAAGATTATATCGTAGGTATCGTATATAATTTATAATTAAGTTGATGATTATACATATAAAAGATAAAAATGTTTGGAATGTTTAACTGCCTAAAGTCTGGTCCGTGAGCACGTAGAATTTTGTCCAATGACCCCAAGCTACCCATCCTTATTGCTCGCGCGTAATTATGTTGCTGTCGCGCTCGCACACTCACTGCGGGTGCCAGTCGCACAGTCGCGACAGCAATATAATTACGCGCGAGCGATAAGGATGGGTAGCTAGGGGTCATTGGACAATATTCTACGTGCTCACGGACCGGGCTTTAGCTCGTATCAATATTTATAACTATGTAAATTTTAAGACTGTAAACCCTTGAAAAAGAGGCTGACTATAGTGACTGAGTTTCTTGCGCTGCTTCTTCTCAGCACTGGCCCGTTTATTGTCCCGAAGCAGTGGTAGGGTTAATACTGGGACGTGTAAAAGCCTACTTACAAAAATAAAATGAGTTTTATGAGTTTTACAGACGACTTATAATTGGTTTTAATCATAAACTGTAGCTTTAGTCCAGTAGAATTAGCTTTTNGAAATAAACTAAGTATATTATTAGCCAAAGCTGTGTGTACCTGTTATTGGCATGCATACACACTAAACCTCTATATGTAAGATTTTCATGTAATTACTTTGTATGTAATGTTGTTGGTATACCGTAATAAATAAATAAATAAATCTTCTTATCTCGTACTGCTGTGATAAAAATTTAACATTGACTTAACACTGTAAAAATGGCGCCCACTCTGCCGGGACTCGCGCATGCCCTGTAAAGGATTGATTGATTCTCTCCCATCACCTGCGTCTTCCATTAAACTTTTCTGTAATACCAGTAACATCTTGATGTTGGGGCTTACCAAGGGACAAAAATTCATAGTTTAAAAGCTCACTTGTAACACGATATTTCATCGATTAAAATAGGGTGTAATATTGGATACATTTACCATTGTTACATTGTGCACAAGTTGATTTATTAATTTCTTTTTCCTAGCACTTACCATACGTTAGAATAATGGATACTGCGCATTCTTACATTCTGAGGCGTCAAGCTAGATTGAAGTTCCTGATTATGGCAGTGGTTGCCGAAATAATATCGATAGCTTTGATGTCCTTTATCACAATCTTTTTAACCATCGTTTTCCTGATTATAGTTTTAATTACTTATCTCATTATGCACAATAACGTCGATACAGGTAAATGTTTCGATAGTTTATATGCATGCAATAGAAAAATCACAGTATACGAGTATTCGCATTATTTGAAAGATAGAGGTCGACAAATCGAGATCTAAGGGATCTTTAGGAACATAATTTGAAAAACTACTGAGTCTCTTCTTCGACTTGTAACAACGTTTTCTCTTTCTTTACAGGTGGACCCAGAAATGGCCCGCATTGGGTCCAGGTCTAGGGTCGCCCCCCACGACGTAGAGACGGTACGTAATATTTCCACATGGCGCAGTTACACTATGCGCGAAGTTGATCGAAACACGCACACACAGTTCAGTTCGTTTCGCCGTGCGTTGTCCATGCTTCCGTGCGTGTGTTCGATCAACTTCGCGCATAGTATTAATATGTATAATTGTTGCAGTCACCAACAGTCTACGCAGAACTCCATATTTCTGGACGGGTTTGAATCGCGAGTAATACCTATTAATAAGCAGCCATTATATTTGACAGGTGATTTCCACTGGTAATCTCTATTATGCAGGTGTTCACACTTTTAGAAAGGAGTTAAGACTGCAGCACACTGCAGTGTTCCGAGGTTGCAAGTTCGGGAGGCAAACTGATACTTCATAACAGCGGTCATGGACGTGTTCACACTTTTAGGAAAGAGTTAATAATTATGTCCACAGCAGGCTGTAAGTGCACCGAGGTTGCAAGTTCGAATATTGTGGGAGGCAAATTGGTACTTCATACCAACAGCTTAGTACAACATCTACTTAGCTCGGTCCAGGGAATGGTGACGAGCAATTGGAAGATTTCATTTATAGGCATTTTAGAAATGTTACCTTTTAACATCGAGCAGTGCAACCTACAAATACCTTAAGCTGTGGAGTGCCGCGTCTTTCCGTTCTATACATGGCCAGAACGCACCCATAGGAAACTGCTCGTGTATATTTCGGAGTGCCTGTTTGTAAATCTGTGACTCCAAACTATACACGAATTTTGCGTACTGATCGTGTATAGTTTGGAGGAGCTTAGTAAAAAAAGTCATCTCCAAACTATACTCGATTAGTTTCTACTACACCACTTACACTTGACTAGACTGTGTTTAGTTGATATTGATTTAGTAAAATTCAGTAAAATATGGAACTATATTTAAAATTACATTTATTTGATATTATTACATAAAATATTATTATTTTACTGAATCTATAATAAATCTAGATTTTTAAAACTATTGTAAGTGGTTTTTGAAATTAAATTGATTAGGTAGATTTCAAATTAAATAACAATTTCATTAATATGAGAGAGAGTGAGACAAGAAAGTTCAACGCGCATTAAATACAATATTATGCGAGACTTTAAATGCTAGGTTTGTATTGTCGGCCGTTTGGTGTAGTGGTTCGAAGTGGTAGCGGGTTCGATTCCCGCACAGTACAAACATTTGTGTGCATGAACATATAGGTATGTTTGTATTGGACTGGGTGTTTTCTATGTATAATAAGTATGTATTTACAAAAAAAAGTATTTACATAGTAGGTACAAGCTTTGCTTAGTTTGGGACTAGAAGCGCAGTGTAAAATGTCTAAGGATATTTATTTATTATTTATTTTATTTATTAACTTTTATCTCAAGAACAAAATCATTTTGACATATTTCCATACCTACAATTGGTGAAATATCAGCCCCAAAACAAATATCTTTTCTATGGCAGAATAAGAAACACCAAAAAATCCTTTATCAAAACAATGACACGTGTCGTAAGATGATTCAATGTTTAAAGTATACACGCAGATATGAATTAATCTATCTATATAAATAAAAATGAATTGATGTTCGTTAGTCTGATTAAAACTCGAGAACGGCTGGGCCGATTGAGCTGATTTTGGTTTTAAAATGTTTGTCGTAGTCCAGGGTAGGTCTAAACGGTGAGCAAATACTCGCGCGACATTGTTTTTCTGTAACAGACAAAATTCCACGCGAGCGAAGCCGCGGGCGGAAAGCTAGTATGTAATAGAAAGAGAGGTCAATAAGTCAAAATGACTAGCATGCAACTACTCGCGTATAAATTGTAATCACGCACTTATTAAAATACATACATGATTAGTCCGTATGCGTACTGGCGATGTATATTATGGAGGAAGATAATTGACCTAAGTCACTACAAAGTATACGCGAGCAGTACGCAGCGTATGCGTACTGGTCGTGTATAGTTTGGAGGAGCTTAGTAAAAAAAGTCATATCCAAACTATACTCGATTAGTTTCACACCCTTGCGTTCTGGCTATGTATAGAATGGAAAGACGCTGGAGTGCCTAATACCCAACCAAAGGGCCAGCGTGAGGAGGGCAGGCGAAATTCTCCATTTGCCGCTTGTACATACATACATTAGAGAGAGTCGTACTCCTGCAGTAAAGATGATGATGAGGATGGTGATGGTGGTGATGATAATGATGATGATGTTATAGATGATGTTGGAGAACTACCATCAAATTGATAGTCTGTTTTAGATTTCCCCTTCGCATTTCAGGACCACATAAGCCTGCTAATTTGAATTGTAATTAAACAGTATTTTTATTCTAGTTCATGGAGTACCTGAACACGGTTCAGCTGCAGAAGGATCAGAACATCGATCAGTAAGTATTTTTTTCATTTAACCCTTTTAATCCAAGCTTTTATTGGGTCAAATATAGCAAGCTGAATTAGACCCACTTCCTGACAACCGATTAAGCTGAAATTTTGTACACACGTGAATTTTAGATGCGCAATGATGTCATGAAGCTGCTGAGATGATGATGGAGCCGGAAGTTGGCCATAGGAACTAACACAGGGTTAGGTGTTAGAGCTATGTTATACCAGTTATACTCATACACGCGGCCGCCCGCGACTTCGTACGCGTGGATCCCGTTTTACCCCCTTAGGGGTGGAGTTTCGTAAAATCCTTTCTTAGCGGATGCCTACGTCATAACATCTACCTGCATGCCAAATTTCAGTCCAATCCGTCCAGTGTTTTGGGCTGTGCGTTGATAGATCACTATGTCAGTCAGTCAGTCACCTTTGAGTTATATTATTATACTTAGGGCTGATTTTTCAATCGTCAGATATCTTTTATCTGAAGAATAACCTTGTCATTTTGACATACTTCCCATACTGAAACTGTCAATATGCCAAATTTATTCTTCAGTTAAAAGTTATCCGGCTATTGAAAAATCAGGCCTTAGAAGATTAAGGGTATGGACACGGCGATAGAGTGAGCAGCACCCGAGGTTACGGATGTTTATCAATATGTTAACATCCTTTGCTGTTGCGGATTCGAATTCCGCTGAAGGCGCCAGAGTCAGATTCATGTCTGTTTACGTGTAGGTATTTGTATTTTTTCCAGCATTGTTCAAGCACATTTACTATTAGACTTTCATCGAGTCCCTTCATGAATATTGCATACTTACATCATGGACGAGTGTAAATGATGATGAAAATGACTGTATGTGCAACACTATAGGAACCGTGGCTGCGTCATCACTCCAGTGTTTTCAGAAATGACTTCGACACTTCAAGGTATCGAACCTTCACTGGTTTGATTTGATAGAGTTATTGACACAACAAGCGTGGGATAATTTTTCCAGGCAAAAGTACTATACCCATTGGAAACCTAGCAGTCTTAGCAGACAATAGTAGTGCCCCTTTTACCGGTGAAATATCCCGAAGCCGCCATCAGCGGATCCAGAGATAGAGTCCCCCCCTCATTGTTACCTCATGTGCATATGCATGACAGCTATCCGTGCTTTTAGGTACATGATCCGCATCAACAGCATGCAAGTGGTCGAGGGCCTCATGCGATACCACGAGAAGAGGCGCAAGATGGCGAAGCCTGGCCAGCCCACCTACTTCGGGAACGAGAACGGCCAGAACGTGCGCAAGCAGGAGTTCAAGAAGCGCCGCCCCATCCGCATTCCCAAGAGGAAGGTGAAGCCGGCCTTCGAACTCGAGGTCCACGTGGTGCAGCCACCCGCTCAGGTGCCCAACGACAACTAAACGTCTCACGCCTTGTAGTATCTTAAATACTACTCGTATAAATGTTCAGTGTCCCCACAATCCCCATGTATTCTCGTGTCCCTGCAATGTAACCCCATCCCTGTTTCCAATCGATGTGCGTCCATGTCCCTGTGTCCAATTGGTGTCCATATAATCGATATAGAAAGTCTCACACCTATCTATCTATTCTATCCCCGTCATTCCCAAAACCTGTCGTATCTCTATATCTCTATTGACCTTGTAATTTCGTACTATATTCGGAACGCGATCGTGAAAATAAAACTAATGTAACTGTATTTCGGTTGTCTTTTTATATCACTAAACTTTGATAGAATGACAGACGTCTTACACGTGAACGGTTATAAAGTTAAATTAATTTTTCAATGACATTTTAATAACCTTTTTTTAACAAGTTTTTCACCTGGCAGGGTCACACGGTTTAGCTTAATATCTTGTCGAGGCATTATCAAACACAGCCCTACCGTTGGTAATTAAATTAGTTTTGATCACCCGACACCTACCAGGTGAAGTTCCAAGCTTGAAATATAATACTAACGGCGGGCAAATCTTGCATTGTATATATCAAGATTCGGTTGGTATTTTTACAACTTGCAAGTTGCTAACCGTTAGATTAGATATCAGATCTTATCAGCGATGGTAGATATGTTAACCGTATGTGGGTATAAACGGATGCAGGTTAACAAAAGCTGTTTTTATTATTTCTTACTTGGGGAAGGCTTTCAAATATTTATTATTGTTTAACATTTCTTATTTGTATTATAAACTATTATAAAAATGGACTGAGTATTTAAGGGTAGATAGGACGTCGTTTTCACGGACGAGTAGGGTAAAATTTTTCAAATTGGTAGGTAGGGTGAAAATATTTCGATATTTTGCCTATTTGCTAATGTCTTTCTTTTGGACAAAAAATATTGAATACAGTTTTTACGTTGATCTGATGTGATTGTGGTGGAGCTCTGACATAAGAAGCTGTCGTTTAGATATGAAACTAAATTGTTGTTGGATTGAAAGAAATGTTTGATGCTGGTGTCATCTGTTGTACCAAAAGTGGTTCTTTAGAGTTTGGCTTGCCCCATAACATCATAAATATCAAGGCAGTGACAGTTGCCGCGAATGTGTCGCCCGTGTGAGTGGAATGTTAGTTAACACCCTGAAGTTAAACAATTGGAAATGTTTAAACGGTTGTATCATCATCATCCGTTGGAACTGTTCTAAAACTTGACTTACCTATTTAGACAGTGTCAATGACAATGTCAAACAAATACCGGATTTGACTTAATCGGAATGTCACATGATGTACAAATTATGAAAGAGATTGAATGAAGCGTCAAATCTTGTCTGGAGAAGGGACGTGTGAAACAAAAAGATCGGTTTTGTCTGGGACAAGATGGTTGAACAACCTGGGATGCTCAGTTGGTAACGAAATGACGCGACGCTTCGGCGAAGCGTGTGTGGGGTTAGTAACGTAGGAATAGTGACGAGCGTGGTGCAACATGTCCTAAGATGGTTAAGGCAAGCAGTGAGGTTGGCCCTTGGGGTTAGATTGAATGACATGTTGCAATGACAAGATCTACGCTTTGATATGGTGGGCGAATGAAAAGCCATGGGCGTTCCGATATGGACCAGTGCGGGTTTCAACCGCACGCTTACGAGTGAATGAGTAGCCAAGCTTAAAGTTAGCCGAAAGGCTTTGGGTGATTGTTTCGATCGCGGTTGATAGGGACTTGGCTAGTTGTGTTACTGGATAGGAATTATTGTTTTGGAATGCAAACAGACAGCTTGTCTGTTTGTCGTTTGGACAACACCATGGCAGATTTTTGCAGCTGTAAGAAGATAGTCAGGGTTCATCTTAACGCACGGCTTCAGAGAGGTAGTTACATTTCTGTTGCCAACTTATCAGCACAAAAATGTTTGAATCTCTTTGCATCTCGTACTAGCTTATTACAAGCACTGGTTTGAAATGGTTTGGGTTTTGAGCTGCATATTGTTTGTGACGCAGCTTTGGAGCTACTGATTTTGACAGCGCTATAGCTTGTATTGACAGGCTTACCGCTAGAATGAGGACCGCTGTGATTGCGAACAAATCAAAAACATTTAATTATACACAGCGACTTATTTGCTAAAAGGCTAGAAGGGGGTTGGGGGTAGGACAGGCTCGTGACTTGTCCATTGTTAGTGAGCTAGCCGATTTTGGGATATATTTTTATTATTATGGAGTTACAATTACTTTATTTCTCTTGATTTTGAGAAGATGGGTGGAAAGCCATTGCTAAGACGCAATTGGCTCAAGGGCTATGTTTCCACTTAAACATTCTGAGAAGAAAGAACTTTTGGAAAACGGGGTTTGAAAATTTGTATTTTGAAAGGGGTTTAAAACAGTAGTGAACGCGTGCTTAGCCGCGGATAAATAACTAAGACAGAAATGTTAACAACAATGATTATTTCTTGATTGAGCATGGTGTAGCGTAGGGTATAAAGATATGAGGTTTGAAATCACCTAGTGCTGATTGGATCGGTTTGGGTAACGGCGTAGAGTAGCTGTGCTTCTGTGTGAAGTTCGGTAGAAGCGTTTGAAGTAACAAGAGCGTATTTTGATTGCATCATCAGGCGTAGACTGGGCGAGAGGGGTGTAAAGAAAAGAGTACAGAGACTTGGTCTTTGTACACGTTGGTTGAAGGGCATGGCAGTAGGTGTGTCGGATCTCATATTGACTATATCAACCGGACCGGGCCGGACCGGTGATACAGTTAATCTGCTGGATCTGTGGCAATTAAATGAAACGAAAAACAGGCTTGAAATCGGAGAGTAGGGAATTCTAGTGGGTGTGTTGGGACTTATTGATTATATCCAACGTAGGGCAACTGGTGATCAGATAATCTAGATGGAACTTGCTGGGTCTGTGAAAATTGGATGAACAGAAAAACAGGGTCGAAATGGGAGAGTAGGGTGTCCTAGTGCGTTCGTATGCGTATGCGAAGGGCATGGCAGTAGGTGTGTCGGATCTCATATTGACTATATCAACCGGACCGGGCCGGACCGGTGATATAGTTAATCTGCTGGATCTGTGGCAATTAAATGAAACGAAAAACGGGATCGACATGGGAGAGTAGGGAGTTCTAGTGGGGTTTGTCGGATCTCATATTGACTATATCAACCGGGCCGGGCCGGACCGGTGATATAGTTAATCTGCTGGATCGGTGGCAATTAAATGAAACGAAAAACGGGGCCGACATGTGAGAGTAGGGAGTTCTAGTGGGGTGTGTTGGGACTTAATGATTATATCCAACGTAGGGCAACTGGTGATCAGATAATCTAGATGGAACTTGCTGGGTCTGTGAAAATTGGATGAACAGAAAAACAGGGTCGAAATGGGAGAGTAGGGTGTCCTAGTGCGTTCGTATGCGTATGCGAAGGGCATGGCAGTAGGTGTGTCGGATCTCATATTGACTATATCAACCGGGCCGGGCCGGACCGGTGATATAGTTAATCTGCTGGATCGGTGGCAATTAAATGAAACGAAAAGCGGGTTCAAAATGGGAGAGTAGGGAGTTCTAGTGGGGTGTGTCGGGACTTATTGACTACATCCAACGTAGGGCAACTGGTGATCAGATAAACTAGATGGAACTTGCTGGGTCTGTAGCAATTGGATGAAACGAAAAACGGGGTCGAAATGGGAGAGCAGGGAGTTCTATTGAGGGTATGTTGGGAACTGGTTACCGATGAGCTGGTGTGATCTGGCTGTGTCTGTGGAAATTGGATGAACAGAAAAACAGGGTCGAAAAGGGCAGTAGGGAGTTTTAATGCATTAGGGGTTGAGAAGGGAGAGTAGAGAGTTTTAATGCGTTAAGGGTTGAGCTCCCTTCTCGAGGGTCTGTGGAAATTGGATGAACAGAAAAACGGGGTCGAAAATGGGCAGTAGGGAGTTTTAATGCATTAGGGGTTGAGAAGGGAGAGTAGGGAGTTTGTCAAAGCTGTTGCGATATCATCAAGCAACGAATTTATTAGCTGAATGTGATTTGATTTGGCAAAGACCTGAGGAAATCTGATGGATGCTAAAGAGGCGATACTTTCGTGTGAATTTGTGTTTGTCCGTCCTAACCATCCAGTAAAGCAGTACCGTGTCAGGGCAGAACTTATACTGAACCACTTTTGTCATTGTTCTTAAAACGGATCATTTAATGTACGAGTATGTTAAAGCTTGGAATCGTTATGGTTTGTTTAAGAGTTGATACCATCTCATTGTTATGGAAATAAAGATGGATGTTGATTGTCGTTTTAAAGATATGATCTTGGAGTGCACTTCGAACATTTATGAAAGAAATTTAATCATTGGTAAAGCGGCTCCTATAAGGTTAAATCTGCTTTAGCATGTCTAGGTCTCTTTCAAATATGTTTGCAAACTTAATAATTTGAATACGGCATAGTTTGTTGAAGAGTGTTGTAATTCAGATTAAATCTAATCGCAGGAGTTAGACGACTGAGCCTTTCAGGCTATGAGAGAGATGTATTGGACTGAAACAAAAAGAATTGTGATTGAAACTGTATTCTAGTTATTAAATTGAACATTGGCAGATTTGAACTGGATTGTAATTGGAAGGTAATAACAAAAATGAAAAAGCAAAGTGACTATAATCTTCAAAATTTGGTAAGATACCTCATTCTGTACGTTCCCCTATTTCAAGTGTGCATCTGTTCAATGTTGTAATGCTTAATCCAATATAATAATGAGGACTCAATATATCTTCTATCGTACTTCTTCTTGGAGAATTGTATTGTTAATTTAAATACTACTGTTACTACTAACTGTTGAGTTCTACTTATTACTATCGTTGAGTTCAAATGGGAATTGTATGACTATTTTTAAAAGTAACTTAAGTTTAACTATTTTATACTGTTATAATTTTACAAATCTATCAATCTTCTACGTGTTTTAAAATTTATGCATTAGGCACTATAATGTATGTAATACTCAGTAAATAAATGTTTAAAAATTATAAATTGTTTCAAATTGAATTTAAAATTAACATTATAACATTATGGACAGCGAAAAGGCCACTAAATTGGTGATTCTCTCTCGTGATGTTGTTTAAATACTTATTTGATTATGTTGTTTTTAACTTTTAAGCCTTTAGCCTTCGTAATGTAATGTTAAAAATACTCCTTTACACTGTACATTACGTACCTACTTTTGTTATTATGTTATTTTTGTTATTGTTATGTTTTTTAATTTTAAGTTGGTTAAGTATAATGTTTTGTTACTTTTGTTATCTTTATGCGATCTAATTGTCAGTATACTGTGAGAAATTTTCATTAACCAGACTTATGTAATGCATTAAGGTTTAATCTTACAGCATTGATAAGTTTACGAGTTGGTTGATTTCAAGGTCAAATATTTTACTGTTTTGTATATTTTTAATTATGTTAATTATTTATGCCAAATTTTTATTTTTCTCAAATTTAAATTAAAAAGTAACATTTTAAAATTTCACATTAACATTTGCAATTGAATCTCAATAATCTCAATTCAAGTCATATTGATAAGATAGGTACACTTCCAAATTGTTTATTTTTTTTCGAACTGACTAATGACAAACAACTTGACTTGAGGACAAACGCAAAATAATATCAAAACCATGATTTGGTAACAGAGAACTTATCAACTGTATGACTGCAGAATGATCTAGAGCTAAAATAGCGACAGAGAAATAACTGCAGATGTCAAGCAAGTGATCTGCAAGGCATTGGGCCGTCGTTGTTGCGAAACCAAAGCAGAGAAGTTCTGCTTGGATTATCAATACTTCAGACACACCAAGAAATAGTCATAGACGATACAGCATCTGACATGAAGGCCAACCATCCGTCAACAACTGAAGATACAACATAAAGACCTACGGTTCCGCCATCAATATCATAGAAGAAGACCACTGCATTGAGCAGGTTTAATCATAAAGAGCTGGAAGAGCTAGAAGACCTAACAAACCCAAGAAGTCAAGAACCCACGAGCTGAGTAACTACTTAGTTCTGACTCAACCGCCATCGTTGCCTTTTGCCCTGTGCCTCAAGAGCTACAGTTATCGTCACTCGAACCACTCGTCAAAGAAGATCTTGAACAACTCCTCGAGCACCAGATTACACTACCGTCTGCTCGCTGGCCGTCAAGAATGACAATAAAAAAAGCATCAAGGTTATCAGTTAAGAAGCCATGACAATGAAACCACTCATCCTACTATAACTACAGATGGAAGATCGACGCAGCTACAACAATCTAATTTTACAAACTGGCTCCTGGAAGACTGGCCTTAATCAACGCCGAAAACGAATATCACAGTTAACAAAACCACAAGATTGGGAAGGATCTACCAACCCAAAGGCCACTATCGAAGAAGAATAGAAGAATCTCCTACACTACCTCGAAGTTTAGAAGTTTCTTAGAAAAACTCAGAAAAATATAAAGAAATACATCACCCGTAATATCACAAAACACAAGTTTCAACTGTGCTGAAGATGAATCAATTGAAGAGTTTAAAGCATCAAGATTATGGAGTCTAACTCCTCGAGCACCAGATTACACTACCGTCTGCTCGCTGGCCGTCTGCTGGACCTCCCCAGTGGGTCTCATCCGGCAGGCTTGTACCGCGCTGAGGACGGTGTTGTGTTGCGTCGAAGAGTACAGAGCAAACAAGGGACCGTCAGATAGAACCTGATAAGAAGAAACTCTGAAAAATATCCAGCACCATATCACTCGAAGATCACAAGTTTCTACTGTGCTGAAGATAATGTTATGTTGCATTGAAGAGGATAAAACCTGTAAACTGCGCCAAGAATGACAATAAAAAAAAGCATCAAGTTTATCAGTTTAGAAGCCATGACAATGAAACCACTCATTCTACTATAACCTCAGATGGAATATCGACGCAGCTACAACAATCTAATTTTACAAACTGGCTCCTGGAAGACTGGCCTTAATCAACGCCGAAAACAAATATCACATTTAACAAGACCACAAGATTGGGAACGATCTACCAACCCCAAGGCTATCAAAGAAGAATAGAAGAATCTCCTACATTACCTCGAAGTTAACAATTTTTTTAGAAAAACTCAGAGAAATATCCAGAAGTAGGTACATCACCTGTAACATCACAGAACACAAATTTCGACTGCGCTGAAGATGAATTGGTTGAAGAATTTAAAACATCAAGATTATGATACACTACCTCGAAGTTTACAAGTTTCTTAGAAAAACTCAGAGAAATATCAAGAAGTAGGTACATCACCTGTAACATCACAGAACACAAATTTCGACTGCGCTGAAGATGAATTGGTTGAAGAATTTAAAACATCAAGATCATGAGTCTAACTCCTCGAGCACCAGATTACACTACCGTCTGCTCGCTGGCCGTCTGCTGGACCTCCCCAGTGGGTCTCATCCGGCAGGCTTGTACCGCGCTGAGGACGGTGTTGTGTTGCGTCGAGGAGTACAGAGAAAACAAGGGACCGTCAGATAGAACCTGATAAGAAGAAACTCTGAAAAATATCCAGCACCACATCTCTCTAAGATCACATGTTTCTACTGTGCTGAAGATGATGTTATGTTGCATTGAAGAGGATAAAACCTGTAAACTACTCCAAGAATGACAATAAAAAGTACAGAGCATCAAGAATATCAGTCAAGTAGACATGACAATGGAACCACTCATCCCACTGTAACATGTTGAAGATCGACACAGCAGCAACAATCTATTTCAACAAACTGGCCTTAATCAACGCCGAAAACGAATATTACAGTTAGCAAGACCACAAGATTGGGAACGATCTACCCCAAGGCTATCGAAGAAGAATAGAAGAATCTTCTACACTACCTCAAAGTTTACAAGTTTCTTAAAAAAAAACTCAGAGAAATATCAAGAAGTAGGTACATCACCTGTAACATCACAGAACACAAATTTCGACTGCGCTGAAGATGAATTGGTTGAATAATTTAAAACATCAAGATTATGATACACTACCACGAAGTTTACAAGTTTCTTAGAAAAACTCATAGAAATATAAAGAATTACATCACCCGTAACATCACAGAACACATGTTTCGACTGTGCTGAAGATGAATTGGTTGAAGAATTTAAAACATCAAGATTATGAGTCTAACTCCTCGAGCACCAGATTACACTACCGTCTGCTCGCTGGCCGTCTGCTGGACCTCCCCAGTGGGTCTCATCCGGCAGGCTTGTACCGCGCTGAGGACGGTGTTGTGTTGCGTCGAGGACTGTGCTGAAGATAATGTTATGTTGCATTGAAGAGGATAAAACCTGTAAACTGCGCCAAGAATGACAATAAAAAAAAGCATCAAGTTTATCAGTTTAGAAGCCATGACAATGAAACCACTCATTCTACTATAAACTCAGATGAAATATCGACGCAGCTACAACAATCTAATTTTACAAACTGGCTCCTGGAAGACTGGCCTTAATCAAAGCCGAAAACGAATATCACAGTTAACAAGACCACAAGATTGGAAACGATCTACCAACCCAAAGGCCACTATCAAGGAAGAATAGAAGAATCTCCTACATTACCTCGAAGTTTACAATTTTTTTAGAAAAACTCAGAGAAATATCAAAAAGTACATCACCCGTAACATCATAGAACTCAAGTTTCGACTATGCTGAAGATGAATCGATTGAAGAGTTTAAAGCATCAAGATTATGAGTCTAACTCTTCAGCACCAGATTACACTACCGTCTGCTCGCTGGCCGTCTGCTGGACCTCCCCAGTGGGTCTCATCCGGCAGGCTTGTACCGCGCTGAGGACGGTGTTGTGTTGCGTCGAGGAGTACAGAGCAAACAAGGGACCGTCAGATAGAACCTGATAAGAAGAAACTCTGAAAAATATCCAGCACCATATCACTCGAAGATCACAAGTTTCTACTGTGCTGAAGATAATGTTATGTTGCATTGAAGAGGATAAAACCTGTAAACTGCGCCAAGAATGACAATAAAAAAAGCATCAAGGTTATCAGTTAAGAAGCCATGACAATGAAACCACTCATCCTACTATAACTACAGATGGAAGATCGACGCAGCTACAACAATCTAATTTTACAAACTGGCTCCTGGAAGACTGGCCTTAATCAACGCCGAAAACGAATATCACAGTTAACAAAACTACAAGATTGGGAAGGATCTACCAACCCAAAGGCCACTATCAAAGAAGAATAGAAGAATCTCCTTCACTACCTCGGAGTTTACAAGTTTCTTAAAAAAACTCAGAGAAATATAAAGAAGTACAACACCCGTAACATCACAGAACACAAGTTTCAACTGTGCTGAAGATGAATCGATTGAAGAGTTTAAAACATCAAGATCATGAGTCTAACTCCTCGAGCACCAGATTACACTACCGTCTGCTCGCTGGCCGTCTGCTGGACCTCCCCAGTGGGTCTCATCCGGCAGGCTTGTACCGCGCTGAGGACGGTGTTGTGTTGCGTCGAGGAAAACAGAGCAAACAAGGGACC